GAAACATGAAATAAAACTTTAATAGAAAATACATCGATATAAATCATCAAGTTATGACACTAATGAAGACAAGAATTTCCAAGGGTGTTGCTCAATTGGAGGTCTGTCGGTCAGTCGATCCCATATGAAAGCGAGATGTGAATAATTGATGCATGCTAAACATTAGAAACGGGAAAAGTATATATAAATATCACAGGTTCTTCTGCAATACCGTCGATTATAGAACAGAGAGACGCTAGTTATTTTCACTAGGCCAGTGAGAACCATGCAGCCACATTCACGCGCCAATTGAATTCAATAGACCGATAACTCAGTGCATCTGCCGCTCGTGAAGTACACTATGCTGTACTCTTTAAAAATAGTTCTTCATTATGATTTGTCATTTGTCGGATTTTTTTCACTGTTTATGTATATTCAGCAATATTCTATAATAATTTAACAACAATTAATTAGCAACAATCTACCGACATTTTACAGAAGTACGAATACTCAATTAAAACGACGCGGTCTTTTTATCGATATATATGTATATATACATATAATACATTGGTATTTTGCCCCTCCCCCAGTTCCCTAAGTTAAATTTTAGATTAAATTAATTTTTTGGAATATGTCAAAAAAATTATTTTATTATAAGTTTTGTGTGTGTGCAATAATTATACTTTCGTGCAATAATTGAAGCTGCGAATTTAGTTTCACGTTTGATACATCAAGATTCATTGTTGAACAGTCCGTAGAACTCTGTTTGAACTCCAAAATCAGTGTATTGAATACAAATACTGGCAAATGTTACAACGACATATCACATCTACATACTGAACTATACTACATAGCTCCAAGAGCAAAACAATACACAACAAAACGGTGTTTATTCGAATTATAAGAATAATGTCTTTTGACAATTTAGCCGCTTGTTCCCTGCCTTGAACAATTAATTCAAATTTTATGTTTTTTTGTTCATTACAGACGGTAAAAAAGCGTTAAAGTTCTATGCAGTTGTGATTGGTATTCCTGTTGTTGCTATACTTCTCATCATTGTAATCGCTGGATTGTGTAAGCGCTGCTGTTTCAACAAGAAGCCATCTTCTGCCTCAGGCAATTAATATGTTTCTAGTCATCAAAATAATGCTTATGACTACCGGCCTAGCTACATAAAGTAGTTTAAATGTTTTTGGTTCTTTTGTCGATATCTTTTATGAGAGCTTATATTTTCTAGAATTGAGATATATCAACTAACACTGAACTTGCACGTGCTTGTAGTCTGACATAGGCGTAAAAAGACTTTTTTGCTGTGGAGAATTTAACCAGTAATTAATTTTACATAAATATATGTGTGAGCAATGATAGAATTTCTACGAATGTATTCCCTTCTTTAATACAATTAAACGCAATGTTATATCGCTTTTTCCATGTTTTTTACCTATTTTCTAACAACGGTTAAAGAAAGTGAATGAAAATAATAATGCGATTATAAATACCGAAAAGCTAGTAATATTAGTAATACTTGTTCAACGATTGCTAGCACGCAGCCCATAAGTTCTAATTCTTCATTGCCGTCACTACCAAAACTACCGAAACTTGAACTTCTAAATATTAGCTGCAGGTTTACCGAGTGACGTTACCTTTGGGATTTATATAATACTGCTATTCATAGTTATGCATGGTTTCCACTGGCAGATCGAGAAATGGTTGCTAGCGATATATTTATATATTTTATTTTGAAATGAGGACAGTCAAGCTTAACTCATTAATTTTTCTGTCAAAATTCAAAAGAAAATATATGCAAACCTTTCGCTAGCGAACGGTTTCTCTGCAAATGATAATCCTCCCAAATGCTAACAATTTTATATCGAAAATAAACAAGTTCAATTACCCGCTTTCGGAATGCTGCCCGCGCGATCAAAAGGCTGACGCTTACACGATCAAAATTTAACTACGGTTAACGCTAACTACTTTTTTATCCAACTGACTTCGTAATTAAAGTTAACTAAGAGTTTATTACAACGAACCTTGAACGATATTTATTGATACATGTTTAAAACAACGGGGGGTTAAAATACCGCTGACCCCTACAAAGTCACCAACAAAGTGATGCATGGAATTGCAGATTTAAAAAATATGTTCCGTCCACAAAAATTGTACATTGGTTCTGGGATTCTAATCATTATTATTCCATGTCAGTTTGGAGCCATAGTGAATTTCTCGACTGCACACGCTCTATAAAGTATGGTGAATGTCTTACTCAGTTGTTATATTTATTTAAAGTTTTTGAAGCTGGATTCTGACAACTTTGCTTCCATTATTAGGCTATTTAAAAGCATAGCCCCACTATACCTAAAACTTCTTCAAGTACCCAGTACTGGGCTTAGGAACTGAGAAATCGGTAATGGCATAATCTAAGATTATAAGTATTCAGTTTTGTTCTTAAATATTTTTTATCCTTAAAGATTGGAGCTGAGTGGCCGTTTCGTACTCTATAAACCAAGACTGTCTTATTTATTTTGAATCTGTCGTTCAAATGTTCCACTACATAACATGAAGCAAATCTATGGCGCGCCAAACGGGACAAAAATACTTCCTTTAAAATACATGACTTGTTTTAGAAAATTACACCTATAAATGTGCGCATATAGAACTTTCCAAAGGATTTAAAACTTATCTTACAAAAACTACACCTTTTCAAAGAGAATAATATACTTTTTTTGGAACAATAGTTGTTATATTTTAAAACTATCCAACACGCAAAAGACTTGTTCCTTTTAATAACACTTCTTTTTTAATTTGATCGCGGGCTCAGAAAATATCGCGGGCGCAGGTATAATCAATCATAGGATTCTCAAACGCACGAAAATAGAAAAAAAATAGTTCGTAAATCATGGCGGCGGAAATAGTTGAAGAAACAATTGTAGAAAATGTGCAACGAAATGCACAATACGGGCAAATTCGTCGATATCTTGTTCTCGGAAAAGATCTTTTTAATGAAATGGATCGTAACCGCTTAACGTACGACGAAAATTTGGCCGAAGTTCTTCATAATCGATGTTCTGCCTTCATTGAAGGGCTCGTCACAATTTCAAGGAATGTCGCTTTCACTGAAGAAATAGTCAACGACTTTTGTTCACTAATCAATGAATTTCAGCGCATGAAGTGTATTTATGAAGAACGTTTTGATGGCTTTGGTAGAGACGATTTACAATATGTGTGCCCAATAGGTAAGCGACAAAATTCTGGGAAAGGACGTCCAAAATTTTTAATACCCCGTGCCCAGCTGTTGGTCTACGTTCACTGAACTTCACATGGAAAGCAATTTCAGATATCCTTGGTGTGTCTGTGAAAACAATTTTACGTCGAAGACATGAACTCTCTTTACCAGTTGGGGAGAACACTTATACTGGTATTACAGATGAAGAATTGGACGAGAAAATTTCATCTATTCTCACTTCATCACCAAACTCAGGAGAAAGAATGGTTATGGGCGCACTTACTGCAAAGAATCTTAAAGTTAAAAGGGAGAGAGTCCGTGCATCAATTTTCCGTGTCGATCCAGTGAATCGAATGCTTCGAAGACATACCTCAATCAAAAGAAGAGTTTATAATGTCCCCACTCCAAATGCACTATGGTATGTGGGTAAAGGTGTAAATGTAATATGGGAGAACGTTTAAGCACAATTTGCAATGCCAGTTGTTATTCCTGGAATTATTAGCATTGGGATTCCCAATGCTAAGAATTCAAGGAGAAATAATTTGGGAGTGTTGGAAATAGTTGTTTGTGTAACAATGGGTTTCTGGGCCACTGTGTCGTGGGCGCATGTGGAAAAATTTGTAAATTACTTACCTTCATGTATTTCTTCATTTACATAAAACGTTTTCGAAGTTTTACATTCTTATAGTTTTAAACTTTAAATAAAAAACATGGCCGAGGAACTAATGAACCGATTAATTAATGCTGTTGATAATCTAAGAGAGGGAAGTCAACTCCGAAATCAAAATAACAACAATAACAATCAAGAGTTAAGAGGTAATGGACAGACCATAGAAAATACAATGAGGCGCCTCTATCCAAGCACTGATTCTGACCGGAGCTATGTACCTAGTGTTAGAAACGTCGCCGTCGACCAACCGAGCCATCGACCAACTATCGACCGAAGAAAGGAAAGAAGAACCTGGGTAAAAAGAGAAAGCAGATCGATAATTCTGCTGATAAAGGGAATTCCAACAAAGAAAAACCTGTTTTGCGCGATGTGATTCTTTTGCCATCGCCGAAAATCGTTGATGTGCCACGTGGGTTGAAGCGGGAGAAATTGTATACGCAAGGATGTTGTATTTCTGCTTTTGAAATCTGCGATAGCCACTCTGAAAAGGAAATCAGAAATAAAATGATCACTGCATTTGGTGAAAAGTTGAAAGGTTTGCCAGATCCAAAATTCAAATTTGTTAGAGCAGTTGGAAACAAAATAGTTGATCCCTCGTGTGAAACATACACCGGAAAAGTCTTAAAATACTTAAACAAGCAGGGACCAATATATGTTCGTGCTGTGTCAGCAATTTTTCAAGAGGACTTGAGCAATCCGTGGAGCGATGATGACTCAAGTATTGCAGACCAAGTGGAGGATTTGCCATTGGAAAGTAGTGATGACGAAGTTCTGCTTGTGCATGCATTCCAACAGAGTAAGAAAGATAACACTAAGGCTAAAGTTCATGATAGTGACCAAGGTGAAGCAAGTACCTCTGGTGTCACCGCAAAAAAAAGCCAAGTGCCCCACATGCTACAGAAGTTTCCCTTTAACTGAGATTGCAGAACATGCTGACACTTGTGCAGAATTAGCAGATGGCTTTTCCTCCAGCAGGCAAACATATGGAGATTTACTAATGGAATTTCCATGTGATGACATTATTGATGTGGATGCAGAAACAAGTTGTGTTGCTGAAGAAGTGCCAAAGAATGATCAAATTAATCTTCAGGAGTGTTTGAGCTCTCCAGAAGAATATTCATGAAGCAAGAAGTACCATATATGTTCGTCGCAAACTGCTATGGGAAGATTATGTAGATGCTAACAATCACAACAAGTGGTTTAATCCTCAAAATTCTCTCAAGGTCAACTTCATTGGGGAGAAGGCTGTGGATGGTGGAGGACCGAAACGAGAATTTTTTTGCGGTAATTATATTCAAAACATTTACTGAATTCATTGTATATCGTCATTATTATATGTTTATGAGGTACAGTGACTTACACCATATCTCATATTCTCATGTTTCTATCTAGGACTTCTGTTTTTCTTAAAGTCTAATTCTGTAGATTTTAAAATTTATAGAAACCATGAAACAAATGGAAATTCGCTTGTTCAGTGATGGAATTCCAGTTAAAAGCACAATGGCTCTAACTGAGGGACACTTCAAAGTTGCAGGTCTACTGATGGCCTCAAGTGTTCTGCAAGGTGGTCCAGCTCCTAACTTTTTAGCCAATTGGGTGTATCAGTTTATTTCAGGTGGCCTTGATGCAGTGACCATTCAAGTCAATGATGTAAAAAGAGATTCTCTTAAAGTTGCAGTAGAAAAGGTTAGAATGGGTATATATCAAAACTATTTCTATGAGAATGTCAGCCTATATTTGTAATTTTTTCCAACCTATTGTAGGAACTAAAATGTGTTGCTTTATTAAATATATTTTGCTTTTTTTTACTCATGTTAATCAGCATTTTGATTTTAATAGTTTTTTTACCTAGTTTACATGTTAAGTACATAAAGAAATTGAGATAGTGGGTTGATATATAATCAATTATTAATATCAGTAATATCACACATTTTTTAAGATTGCAATTGCCACATCTGATAGTGAGCTGCAAGAAATTCTGCTCGGAGATGAAGTGATGGCTGAGTTAGATGGAATAGGTTATAGAAGAATTCCAACCAGAGAAAGTGTTAAGAACAAGGAAAATCTAATAAGGTAGTCAAAATTTGCTATGTTTGCAATTATTATGATCAAGCCTTTTTCTTTCCCTTCATACTCCAGTGTTTAGACACATTCATATGAATTTATGGATAACTTATTGGGATCAAAACCCATCCATTATTTTCGTTTCAATAATAAATATTGTGATTAAATGCTAAAATTCATCAATTATTAGATGCATTGTGTGAATGAGGCTGTGGTCCCAAAGATACCAATGCTTAACCAATTAGGAGAAGGTTTGGAACAGTATGGGCTGTTACATGAAATTCGAAAATACCCAGAATTATTCAAACCAATATTTACAGCAAATAGCAGCTTTGATATCACAGCTGATGACCTCATCCAGCGATTAGTTGTACATTTTAGTGAACAACAGCTTTTGAAATCAAAAGAACAGGACATATTCAAACTTTACAGATTTCATCCAGACTTTGTACTATGAAGGTATCATTTGACATTTTAACTAGCTACAATACAACAATTCCCAAAAGACTATTTCTAATTTTCTTTACTGTAGGTATATGTGAGGCTCCAGACTTGAAACTGAAGGATGTGTTGAAATTTATTACTGGTTGTGAATCTATTCCACCCATTGGTTTTCCTTCCTCTCTTAATGTCCATTTCAGGCATGATTGCCCCAGTGGTTGCAAGTGTAGACCAACAGCATCTACTTGTGCTTTGGTGATAATACTACACCAATTCATTCATGCTCATCTCAAGAACTTGGTGACCTTCTTATCTCTGCCCTGTGCGACTGCTGTGGCTTTGGAAATCTTTAGATTCCTGCTGAATTGCAATCTAACTTTATTAACAGCTGGCTTGAAAATTGTAACAAGAATAATAAAAGCATGACATTTGGCAAATTTTTGGGGAGCTGGCAAAATAGCATTGTTCTAAATGTCATGCAAAGGAATTTTTTTTATTTATGCATCTTTGTTATAGCTAATGAGTTGCTGGAAAAATATATTAAAGTTGCTGATTTACTGAACTAATTTTCCCAAGGCATTTTGTATACCTGCACTGACTGCACATGCTTATGATTCTTAAGTCAATACTGCCTAAATATTGCAAGCATTGCCAAATGTTATGCTTTTATTAGGGGTGACATCCATACTTGTACTGCACCTACCCATGGTAGTAGCATGGTAGTATATAGATGTCACCCTCATTCAGTTTTAAATTTCATACTAAGTTATTAAGTTACTAAACAAATGGCAACTATTGTTTATTAATGTTATTGTTGGTGTTCATTTGTGCATGTCTTTACTGCACATTTTATGTTTCAGTTGTTTATATTTACAAAAGGACTTTTCTCTAAGATTGACAACTGTTGTCTATTCAAGGAGTATTCCTATTACCATGTTGTGTTTAGAGTTCAGACAGAGCCAAATACATTTCATGTGTCAGCTTAACTAAATGGCTTGCTTGCTTCTGTTTGCCTATTTCCAATATGTATTTCTCATAAAGCAATATTCTTGTCACTAATCTATTTCTTGTTGGAACTCTTCTACAAGGTTTATAGATCTCTTATACAGGGTGATTCCAAAGTTTCCATCCTCATTTAGTGGGTCTACATGACTATGGAGGAATACTTCCTCTTCCTCAGAGAGTTCAACAAGAGATCTTGGTACAACCACATGATTATTTGTTTGCAATTGTGGGGTAGGCCCATCATCATCCACACCATACTCATTGAAGTTGACTGTTTCAAAATCCAAAACATCTCGAACTGCTCTGTAGTCAGACTCAGCAAATTCATAAAAACCTGCTGTCCAAAGTTGTAATGGACTCTGATTTCCCTCGGTTCTGATGGGATGATGATTCCATTGGGCTATAAAGCATTGAAGTGCCCGGTTCACTCTTGGCATGAAGACATATTGTAAAGCAAACATATGAATTTCATTGTCTGTATCAAGGTCACCATTTGCCTCAAGGAAATAGAAAAGATTATGGTAATGTTGCAGCACATATGTGAAGACATCCTTCCACAACCGTTCAATCCTGATTGTGGACCGATCTGCCTGTAATAACAGGATTGGATTGTATGTTGTACTTCTGCAACATGTATCTTGCAACTTCCACATTTTCTGTTCCATGATCTGTGCGTATACGACGAGGAAAGTGAAATTTTCTAGTACCATGCAAAAACTGTTCCAAGACAGTTACAGCCTCATTGTTATTAGAACATTGGAGGAACACAACTGCTCTGGAATACCCATCTATACCTCCATGAATCACCATTCTCCATCGTATGAGCTTATGATTCCCATCCAAATGCCTATGAGTAAACATTGCATTTATATTGGTAAATAAGTAAAATAACTAGTAATTGTGTATCCCTTATCTGGTCACCAAAAGCAAATTGCATTGATTGTATATTAGATGATATTCACTTGTATTATTTGATTATGAAATTCTTCCCAGTAATTGGAGGGTAAAAAACAGAAACCCATTGTTACACAAACAACTATTTCCAACACTCCCAAATTATTTCTCCTTGAATTCTTAGCATTGGGAATCCCAATGCTAATAATTCCAGGAATAACAACTGGCATTGCAAATTGTGCTTAAATTCTCCCATATTACATTTACACCTTTACCCACATACCATAGTGCATTTGGAGTGGGGACATTATAAACTCTTCTTTTGATTGAGGTATGTCTTCGAAGCATTCGATTCACTGGATCGACACGGAAAATTGATGCACGGACTCTCTCCCTTTTAACTTTAAGATTCCTTGCAGTAAGTGCGCCCATAACCATTCTTTCTCCTGAGTTTGGTGATGAAGTGAGAATAGATGAAATTTTCTCGTCGAATTCTTCATCTGTAATACCAGTATAAGTGTCCTCCCCAACTGGTAAAGAGAGTTCATGTCTTCGACGTAAAATTGTTTTCACAGACACACCAAGCATATCTGAAATTGCTTTCCATGTGAAGTTCAGTGAACGTAGACCAACAAGCTGGGCACGGGGTATTAAAAATTTTGGACGTCCTTTCCCAGAATTTTGTCGCTTATCTATTGGGCACACATATTGTAAATCGTCTCTACCAAAGCCATCAAAACGTTCTTCATAAATACACTTCATGCGCTGAAATTCATTGATTAGTGAACAAAAGTCGTTGACTATTTCTTCAGTGAAAGCGACATTCCTTGAAATTGTGACGAGCCCTTCAATGAAGGCAGAACATCGATTATGAAGAACTTCGGCCAAATTTTCGTCGTACGTTAAGCGGTTACGATCCATTTCATTAAAAAGATCTTTTCCGAGAACAAGATATCGACGAATTTGCCCGTATTGTGCATTTCGTTGCACATTTTCTACAATTGTTTCTTCAACTATTTCCGCCGCCATGATTTACGAACTATTTTTTTTCTATTTTCGCGCGTTTGAGAATCCTATGATTGATTATACCTGCGCCTGCGATATTTTCTGAGCCCGCGATCAAATTAAAAAAGAAGTGTTATTAAAAGGAACAAGTCTTTTGCGTGTTGGATAGTTTAAAATATAACAACTATTTTTCCAAAAAAAGTATATTATTCTCTTTGAAAAGGTGTAGTTTTTGTAAGATAAGTTTTAAATCCTTTGGAAAGTTCTATATGCGCACATTTATAGGTGTAATTTTCTAAAACAAGTCATGTATTTTAAAGGAAGTATTTTTGTCCCGTCTGGCGCGCCATACAAATCTGATGACTGGATATCATAACTGGCGCCTGTCATAACCCAAAACATAATTTTAAATTTTTGTGCAATTTCTCTTTTAATAAGCTTCCACACTTGCCCATAATGGTGAACTACAGGGTGTATCAAAAAAAATGTCCCAAATGTAAAATTTCCGTTTTTCAGGATATTTTGCAGAATTTGGCAATTTTTTGTGTTCCTAGAGATAGTTAAGACTTATCTGGTATACCTAGGCCAAGTTTGGTTTTTCATTTACAAAATTATGTTACCGGGGGGGGGGTGGTTTCTTTCCATTGATATTGAGAGGGCTTGCGCGCGAAAATGTGAAGCTGAAATTGAGATATTATTTAGCTGTCTAAAAGTAGGAAAGCTTTTTAATAAACTGTCAAAGTTTCAGGAGAAATAATGCAAACTGGGAGCAACGTGCGACCCCTAAAAGTGACAAAAATTTCATTGCGCGCAGTGGATTAAATGCATGGTTGATTTTAGCGTGACCGATCTCATGCAAGGCTGTGCAAATGAATAAATTAAAGCGAGAAACTGAACAAGAAGACGAAGCGATTTAATAACAAGATTTTTATTCTTGATGTTAATCCTCAACATTTCTACCATTTCTTTCTAAGCAAACTGCGGCTCGTCTGAGCATGGTAAACACTGAACGGCGAACCACATTTGTCTGTCCTGCCTCAAATTATCCATTTCGTTCGAAATTCTTTCTTGCAAATCGCCTACGCTACTACCGGCAAATCTAGGCGAATGGACAGACAAATGGTTCGCTGTTCAGTGTTTAGTATGCTCAGACAAGCCGCAGTTTGCTTAGAATGAAATGGTGGACATTCTGAGGATTAACATCACGAATAAATCGCTTTGTTTTTGTGTTCAGTTTCTCACTTTAATTTATTCATTTGCCCACCTTGTATGAGATCGGTCACGCTAAAATAAACGATGCATTTAATCCACTGCGCGCAATGAAATATTTGTCACCTTTAGGGGTCGCGCGTTGCTCCCAGTATGCATTATTTTTCCTGAAACTTTGACAGTTTATTAAAAAGCTTTCCTACTTTTAGACAGCTAAATAATATCTCAATTTCAGCTTCACATTTTCGCGCGCAAGCCCTCTCAATATCAGTGGAAAGGAGCCACCCCCCTGGTAACATAATTTTGTTACTGAAAAACCAAAATTGGCCTAGGTATACCAGATAAGTCTTAACTATCTCTAGGAACACCAAAAATTTGCCAAATTCTGCAAAATATCCTGAAAAACGGAATTTTTACATTTGGGAGATTTTTTTTATACACTCTGTAGTTTAAGGTAAA